ATTGAAATTGTATTACATTTTAATTTTGATCTCCAATTGTTATTGCTGGTGTATAGAAATGTGATCTATTTAACCTTGTATCCTGCAACATTGGCAAACTCATTAATTAGTTCTAAGAAGTTTTTTGTGTAGAAGTTTTGGGGATTTCTACATAGACAATCATGTCAGCTGAAAATAAGAAAACAGAGGCAGTTTTAATTCTTCCTTTAAATCTTTTGTTTTTTGGCCTTATTGCACTGGCTAGGACTTCCAGTACTGTTTTGAACAGGAGTGGTGAGAGCAAGTTCCTTATCTTATTCCCGATGTTAGAAAAAACACTTAGTCCTTCACCATTATGTATGACATTAGCAGAAAGTTTTTTGTAGACATCCTTTTTTTTTTATTTTATTGTGGTAAGAACTCTTAACATGAGATCTATCTCAACAAATTTTAAGGGTGTGATACATTATTGTTCACTACAGGTACAGCGTTGTATATGTGAGAGTGATACACAAAACACTAAATATAGCACTACTCCTAACTATCCACTTCTGCCCAGCAAGCCTTAGATCCAGCTTCCTTTTGCTTGTCGCCCTCTGGAAATGTGGCCCAAAAGTATGCTGTGCCCTGACAGTGAGTCATTGTACCATCCCACACGACTGCTCTGGAGAGACGGGAGGCAGATTGGAGGATGTGTGTTTCCACCATCCCCACACATTCAGAAGAGTGCACAGCCCCTAACTTCCACTATGTAGGGAGAAGCACCGAGGACCACTGGGACCAATATATTCTAGGCTGGATGCAAGCCTCCTTGACCCAAGAGCTGAAGTTTCCTAAGACCCCCGTGGTAACAGAGTCTCTTTTGGTACTGTGATTGGCTGAGATGTTCTCTTTCTAGAAAACCTTTCCTTCTCATTGAACAGCTTTAGAAGACCCAACTAGGGGCAAGGCTAGTGACTTGGGCCACTGTGGGAATTGTGGTCTCCAATGCATCCTCTGAACCAAGAACGTGACCTGAGAACACTGACTCCCAGAAGGTCAAACTGCTAGGGTAGCTAACAAAGGGACCTTCCAACTGCTGGAAGACAAATCCTTCCAGATCTTGGATGGGGAAACCAGATCTAAATATTGTTGTCCTCAAAACTTGATGTCACTGGGGGACTAGAGAAAATTACAAATCTGTGCTCCTCTTCGTGGTTGTTATGGTTTTTCAATGCCATATTCAATGCCAATGCCTTTTTCAGATATTTACTTTCCCAGTTCTTGCTACGATTGTGTATGGTCTAATTTCTAAAGTAAATCCCTTATCTGTAACACGTGCAGAGCTCTCTTCCTTGAGTGAACTCTGACTGCTACAAATAGCGAGCTGGTTCAGGGCTAGCCTGTCCAGCATGGCCCTAGAGCATCCACTTCTTCTACCTGGTGGAGGCCTTAAACAACTGGATCTAATGAAAAGTATAGTGCTTCTGATCCTACAAAGCTGCTGTGACTGTGAGTTGGAGGAGCTGGTTGCAAGCTCCTTGCGGGTCACTGGAGCCTGGCCATGAGATACCACTTACTCAGGACTAGTGGCACTTTGGTGTAGACACAGGATCCTTTGTGTCCATGGGTAGTAGAGCTCAACACTTCTGTGGTCCCCACCCCCATCAGCTCCTAGCAGCCAGAAGATCCATATGTACCCCGTTAGAGATGCTGAGGACTCTGTAAGAACCACTAAGTCTGGTAGATACCATCCTGGGAAAAGGTAGAGGCAGAACATTTCATCAGAACCCCCTGCAAGAGGGAAGTAACGTAGGAAGGGGTGATGTGCCTGGTACCGCTGCTCCGCAAATTTCTTGTAATCATGCTCCTCAGAACTGGAAGCAGTATCAGAGGTCTTCCACAGCCTTGGTGACCAGGCTTAGAGTGAATGCCTACTTCTGCTACCTCATTTGGCAACCTGCTGCCAAGTATGAGTACTTCCGGGGACTGAGTTGAAATCCTCTTTACTGGTTTTCCTGCTTTCAGTTGACTTATGTCCCATTTGACCACATGTTCAGACTGGGATGTGAAAACCTGGAATGTGAACATGGTTGGCTGCATAGAAATAAATATTTTTCCCTGCAATGCTCTGGCCACAGGCTGGGCCTTGGGAAAGTTCTGATTGTCATATAATCAGGACCTGGGCTGATTACTACTTGGTTGTGCAAAACATGAATATGTTGGATAAAAGTGTATATGAGCCAATGAGATTTGTCACTTACAATGACTTTATTCCCCTATTTATTAGTTGATTTGGGCTAATTTCAGTTATGGTTATACGCATTGTAGCAGAACAGACTACAATTAGAACTGAATGACAGTGCAACCACTACGTAGCAAAACTTTGTAGGATGCAGTGAAAATGGTGTTTAGATGGAAATTTATAGCTTTATATGTATTACAAAATAAGAAAGACTGAAAAATGAGCTAGTCATTCAACTCAAGGGGACAGACTAAACTTAAAGAAAATAGGAGGAAGAAAGTAATAAAGACAAAAGCAAAAATCAATGTAGCAGAGGGTTCATCAACAAAGCCAATTTCTAACTTTTAAAATACAAAATAGATGGCCCTTTGGCAAGACTGATCAAAGAATAAAGAGAGAAGAAACAAATATGTATGAAGAATCAAAAGAAGGTACAGAACTACGTGTACTGCACATTATAAAAAGCTTGATGCCAGTAAATTTGAAAACCAAGATAAAATGAAAAGTTTTCAAGAAAAATGTAAATTGCCAGCATTGACTAACATAGAAGTAGAAATTAGAAATAAACAGTAACCTGAAGCTATTTGGATGAGGGGTTAGTTTCCATGTCACAGTGGATACACATAGTAAGATGTCAGGATTGGGGCCGGCCCCACCGAGTGGTTAAGTTCGCGCGCTCCAGCTTTAGCGGCCCAGGATTTCACCAGTTTGGATCCTGGGCGCGGACATGGCACCACTCATCAGGCCATGCTGAGGTGGCGCCCACATGCCACAACTAGAAGGACCCACAACTAAAAATATACAACTATGTACCGGAGGGCTTTGGGGAGAAAAAGGAAAAATAAAATCTTTTAAAAAAACCCAAAGATATCAGGATAGAGAAATTTGAAATACTCTTGATAGAACTGACAGAGATCGCTCAGTGGAGAAGACTTGTTCCAGAGATTGAACAGGTTTGCCCTTTTTGGAAAAAAAATGAAGTGTTTGTAACAATGCCAGAGATTATCAAAGCAGACTTGTGTGTCTGGGTTTACTGGAATTTCCTGGGAGTCCTGGCATGATTTCAGCCCTGCAGTGTGAATTTAAGAGAAGAGGTTCACAGAGTGGATTGGATTGTTGGAAGCTCCTAATTTCCAGATGTCTGGATATATTGTGATTGGAGGTAAAATTAAATTGGAGTGAGAGAGAGGAGCAAGTGAATGAGTGTGAAAGTACACATAAGGTCGGTTGCCTAAATTAGTTGATTAATTCTCCCATATTCTAAGCTTTAGTGTCTGATTTCAGGGGTGAAAAGGCATTTACAAGAGTTAATGGTTTGGTAACAACATGCTGTTCACCAGCTGTTTCTTGCTTTTATTCACCTAGCATCAAGTTGTAAGCATTTACACCATTAAATATCCTTATAAAATACATTTTAAGTGGCTATGTAACCAAATGCAATGGGATCGTCTCTTGGTGAGTGCAGAGCCGAAGAGCACAACCAAGGCCGAAATAGGTGAAGAACGGTTTATTGCTTGCGCAAGCAATGGGGATCACCAGGGATAACTCCCAAAGCAGTCTCCCCCAGCTCAGTGCAACCGGTGGAGACTTTAAAGAGAGCAGAAGATCTGGGTTTATTTGCGTAACAACTGTGCAACAACTGTGTTCTTCTAAGGCCCATACATAGCATGTATACGTGTTGTTACATACATCACATGATCTAAAAATGCTTATCAGGACCCTCCCAGAGAAGGAGAATTTAAGAAGCTAATGAATTAAGGTAACTTTAGAAAGTGTGATGTTGGAACAGCTGTGGTTTGATTTCTCTGCAAAACAGCAACATCTGCAAAACGGAGACATCCATTTCTGCAAACAAACCACATAGTTTCTTCTTGCTTGAAAAACACTGGACAGATTGTTTGTTTTAACCAGATTCTGGGTAACCCTTTCTTTGCCTGGTTCCCTGGTCACATCGATACAGTAGACCATTATGTGGCCCTACCGTAATATGTTTAAATCACTCACTATTTCAGTAGTGTTGTCAATTGGTTCCAATTTGCTCCTATCATATGTGGCACAATGAGAATTGTTATGGCAATGTTATAATGTTACTTTTCCAGCATTTCTAATGTCTATTTCCTAAAATGTCCTAAAAGTGGAAATACTGGGTTGAAGGCTATGGACATATTTAAGGTTCTTGATACATCAAGTCAAATCATCTTGCAAAAAGATCAATTTACACTCACACTAGCACGTATGAAAGGCCACGTTTCCTTGTATTCTGGCCACCTCCAACTCTATTGTCTAAAAAGCTGTTAGCCAGTTTCAAAGGAAGAAAAGTGATATCTCTGATATTTGCATTTCTTTGGTAGCTACTGTGAGGAGATTTTCCCAAATGTTTACTGATGGTCTGGATTTCTTTTTGGGAATCATTCATATCTGTTGCCAGTTTGCTGGCATGTTTGTATTTTTCTTACCAATTTGCAAGAGCTCTTTCTGTGTCAATGATGTTATCCACGTGTCTGTAAGTATGTTGCAATTATATGCCCTGTTTTGTTATTTGCCTTTAATTTTCCTTCATTATTTATGCAACACTCTGTCTCCTGGGTGGTGGGGCAAGGTAACACCTTTGAGGATATTGTGAACCTGCACCCTGGCCTCTCAGGGAGGGCACAGGCATTCCTGTTAAAATTTTCCGCCGAGCCTAGCTGAGTTTTTTGCAAGGAGTTTCACAAGCAATGTACATCAGCAAAGGGGCTGAAAGAAGAACCCAAGAGGGCTGCATGCTAGCTTGTGAAACGTGTCTCTAGAACCTAATGGGATTGCTTTGTTGGGTGCTGGAGTTTCTGCGGCAGCAAGCAGAGGCAAAAGCCAGTAAATATGAGTGATGCCAAGTAACATGACCACGCAGATTGGAGAAGCCTGGGAAAAAACAATTTATGTCTGTAAAGATTCTATGAGGAATAAGCAGATTTTCAAGCAAGAGGGAACAGAGCAAAAAAAACCCCATTGAGTTTTTAACTTCTCTCTGGAGTCCCTAAATTTTGCATCTGGGGTAACATTAAGCCCACTGTCCCTCTCTAATTTCCCTTGTCCTTAAGTGGACAGAGTCTCCTTTCCTTGAGATCAGCCAAGACAGGATATAGTTTTCCAAAATGAACTTTATTAGAAACAAGGAGAAAAGGGAAATCAAGAGGTATAAAAATACAAAAGAACAGAAACGAATGGTCATAAAACAGTATTCTACCCCTTCCCAAGATAATTTCAATCGACCCCAGGGGCTCTAACTGACACAATTGCCAGATGGGTGGATACAGGTTCATTTCCTCCTTCTCAAGTCTCTTTCTCACCCTGAGATTCTCCACTTTTCAGTTTTGGGTTTCTACTTCTTCCACCTTCCCTCCCTTTTTCTCCTTTACTCTCTAGGGCTCCTGTCACTTCCACAGCCCGGGAGGATCATGGCTGATTCCCGGTGGATAGTTCATCCCTCAGTAATAAATTTTAAAAATTAAAACTAACATTTGTTGAAAAATTACTACATGCCAGGCTCCGTATTAAGCACTTTTCATATATTGTCATATTTAATCCCTACAACTTCCTTGTGAGGAAGAGATACTTAAAGTACTTTACTCCTGAAAGTAGTAAAATGACTTGCAGAAATTCACAGTTTCTAGTAATTGGAAAAAGCAAGTCTCTCCTCCTGTTCTGTCTGGCACTAAATCCAGCCTCTTGACCAGTGTGCTGGATCTTCACAATTGTCTCTGTTCCAACCACATCACCAGAGACACTGCAGTGGTCCGAGCACCCTGTTGCCTCCCATGGGGCGAGGGTAAAGAGTAGGCATTACGGAATCAGCTCTTCCAGCTTTATGGAATCAACACCTCAGGGAGTTGGTGAGGGTGAGTCCTGCTTTGTTCAGCTCCCCAGGTCTTCAGCTTTAAAATCTCACTCTGCCCCATCCCATCAATTTGAGGAAAGCCTTTTTGACGTCCTTGTTCCTCAGACTGTAGATGACAGGGTTGAGGAAGGCTGTGGCGATGTTATAGAAAAGGGCCATTTTCTTGCCGCTGTTTGACAAGGGGTCAGAGCCAGGGCTCATGTACATGATGATGCAGGGAATGGCGAAGATGGTGACCACGGTGATGTGGGAGGCACAGGTGGAGAAGGCCTTGATCTGCCCCTGGACTGAGCAGATCTTCATGATGGTGGCAAAGATGTTGGCATAGACAATGACAACTAGGGAGAGTGGGACCACGATGACGTTGAACCCTACGATGAAGTCTACCAAGTCACTGAGGGATGTGTTCGCACAGGCCAGCTTCAGGACAGCAGGAACCTCACAAAAGTAGTGGTCAATTTCATTAGGACCACAATAGGGCAAGCGCATAGCAAAGAAGGTATCACACAGGCCACCCACCACACCATAGGCTGCACAGATGCCCACCATGAGGAGGCACACCCAGTGGTTCATGATGACCTTATATCGGAGAGGGTGGCAGATGGCCATGTACCTGTCCACGGACATGATGGAGAAAAGCCAGGACTCGGTGATCTCAAAGAGGAGGAAGATGTACATCTGGGCTACACACCTAGCAAAAGAGATGGCCCTCTTCTTGCTGAGAATATGCACGAGCATCTGAGGCACAGTAGTGGTGGTGTAGCACACGTCCAGCACGGAGAGGACACTGATGAAAAAGTACATGGGCGTGTGGAGGCGCGAGTCCTGGTGGATGAGGATGATGAGGAGGCTGTTGCTCACAAGGATCATCAGGTAAAAGACTAGAAAGAAGGTGAAGAGCAGAGGATTGGCCCTGGGGTTGGGGGCGAAGCCCAAGAGAATGAATTCTGTCACAGTGGACTGGTTGAGTTCCTTCATTGTGATCTGCCTGTTTAAAGAGTTTGGGGGATATGTAATTTACTGAGGGTCTGTGCCAAGGGCATGTAAGGAATTTTCACACCCATTGTTTCCTTTATATTTCCTAACAGGAAGTTTGGATTGGCAGATGGAGGTACCACTGGATTTGTTTCCATGGTAGTTTGAGTAGTGTTGGGGTTTGGTTCAGGATTTAGTGGAGGGTCACAGTGATGGAAGTGGGGAAGGCCGAGTCAGGGAAGCGCTGTGTGCTGCGTTCCATCCTGGCCTGTAGGTGCCTCTTCCTCCTCCTCCTAACACAGCCTCGCTTTTCTCTCTATTACTTACCCTATTTTCTGTTTTCTCTTGGGACAACAGAGGTTGCTATGTCTTCATTTAAGATTAGGATCAGGGTTAGGGTGGTTATACTCATTATTTGGGTTCAGGTTTTTACCACTGTTAGGATTAGGATTAAGGTTAGATTGGGGATTAAAGCAATGCTATGTAGGATAAAAGTTAGACTTAATATTTAAGACTTAGCTTTTTCTGATGAATGAGACTTCACTCATATTCATCAATTATGACATTCATTCAAAATATTTTTACCAAATGTTTGCTATTTATTATAAACCAGGGGCGCAACAAAGAGTTATAAATAATCTGGGTGGAAAAAGTGATTTCATGCTGTTTACCGAGATAAATTCTAAATATGTTAGAGTTAAATGCAAAAAATAAAACTGTAATGCAGCCTAGGAGAAAATATATGGGTGAATTTATTTTATGGTTGGATTAAGAAAGGCCTTTTATGCAAACCTCAAATCCTTCAGCCTCATGGTGATGACGCCTTTGCCTTTAATATGCAAATAAAGTAACATAGCTCCTCATTCCATCTGCTGTAACAAGTCCAATAGTTTCCCCAATAGTTTGGAGGGTCCTTGTGCATCCTGGTCACTTTCCTCTAAAATCCCTGCTCTCATTGAATCCTTGACCTTGCTCATTGCCTTACCTTTGAGGGGACTGACCTCTTCAATGGTTCATCCCTATTCTCTTTCTCGTTTATGCCCCAAACCTCCCCAAAACAAGGCTGTCATTTGTAAGGCTTCCTATAGGCATGATGACTCACAGGGCAGTGCAGAACAGAACACCATGAAAACCGAGTGTTTAATATTGTCAAGTCTCTAAGCTATCTCTGCAGCAGTGTTTCCTCCCTGGTTCCCAGCCAGCTGTCATGTTACTCGTGTCTGCTCTCCCTCCTGGACCCTCCTCCCATCTCCCCTTGTCTCCCTTCCCTAAGACTCCTTATTCCTCTCACTTGCGCAGCCAGCCACCAACCCCACTTCCTCTCTCTCAGTCATTTCAAGCTTCATCCTGCATCAGAATCACCTGGAGGTCTTGTCGCATGCTGCTGCACCTCATACCCAGAGTTCTCCTTCAGTAGGTCTGGAGTGGAATCTGAGAATTTGTGTTTCTAACAAGTTCCCAGGTAATGCAGATGCTGCCTGCCTTTGGGACCACACTTTGAGAACCAGTGATCTGCTCAACTGTGCAGAGAAAGTTGGCTTTCTCTCAATTTCTCTGTGTCCATATTATGTCCAACCTGCTTAGTTTTCCCCCTTAATTTTTTTCCTCAATGCCAATATTTTTTTGCTTTCACATAAGCATAAAAACAAAGAAACAGTAAAGGAATGGATGAATATTTTTGGTGATATAGAAAAGAAATCACCCTGTAGAGTTTCCACTGGACAGAGGAGGACGCTCAGGTTCGGAGAGGTGATGTAATTTGCATGGGTTATACACCAAGAACATCAAAGCTGCTCCTGGAGCCCAGGTGTGCTCGACTCCACTTCCAGGGCTCTGTCTGCCTCGCATGCTGCCTCATGCTATGATGAGCCCAAAGAGTGCTGGAGCCGATGAGAGGAGGAAGTCAACGCACAGGGATGGGTGGACACGGGCAGAGAGGGCCCAGGCCTGCTCTGAGCTCTGGCTGCTCACCCTGGCTTGGGCCCCATAGAGGCACACACAGGCTCCCTCGCAAGAGCCCTGCCCCCAGCTGCAGGTTTTCAAGCCAGTGGGCACAAGACCAGAAGGAGACTGTCTACTACTCCCAGCTTACATCCCACCCTCTCCCCCACGCCCACCTGCCATCCAGCCAGGGCAGGGAGGTCATTTATCATTATTAATAATAAAAGAGACCAGAATTCCTAATGTACATATAAGGCCGTCACCCTTGGGACCGACCAACTTACCTGGCCATTGCCCCTCTACGTCCTATAAGAGCCAGGCCTGTGCTCATGGGAGCACTAGTTTGCTCTATGGCTTTGGGAAGTCACTCAGCCTCCTTGCCCTTGTGATCTCATCCATCAAACGAGGGTGGTAGATAATCTGTAATGGCTCCTCTAGGATGGACATTCAACACTTTTCTATTTATGCCTAGATTTGGAGGTGAATGGGGTCAGGGGTGGGGCTGCAGAGATAGAGCAATGGGTGACAGTGTCCCCAATCCCATCCCTCCCTAGGTGCCTGGGCTAGACCGTGGTTACACGTCCTCCAAGGAGGACTTTCAAGGCTGAAATAGGAGAGGAGGCGTGCATGTCTGAGGGGACACCATCCTCTAGATGGCCCGCTCCCTGAGAAGAGAACTGGAAATGGGCGTTGGACTGGGTGGGTGTTGGAGAGCAAGAATGGAGTCTTACAGTTTCAGAGTTATACATTGTCAGGTTTTTAAAAACCCTTGAACCTTTTTGTCAAAGGCAGACTTCTGCAGGAGCTCAGAACCCACTCCACTCACACCCTCCTCACTGAGGCACGTGTGGCTCCCAGAGGCTCCTCTTGCTAGTTAAAGGCTCCTTAAAGCTCAGTTTGATAACCACTCATTTTATCAAAGCCCAGAGAGGGAAGTAACTGCCCTAAGGTCACACAGCAAGAGTGTCTGAAGTGGAGTGAGCACCCAAGTGGCTTGACACCTAGTCCAGGCTCTTACACTGCCAGTTGCTGATCTCGGAGATGAGCCATGAGCCAGGAAATGGGACTTAGGGACGCAGGGAACCTGATGGTGCCAACTACATTCTGTCCCCAGCTCCTGAGAGATGGAGGCCCTTAAACAAGGGCCTTGGTGACGAGAGGCAGCCAGTTCTTACCTCCAGCTTGTACCCATAGGCTGAGGGCAGAGGAAGCAGAGAAGATGCGGGTGACAGGCCTCTGACCCCCAGGACTCCTTGCCTTTTGATGGGTTTGTGTCTTTGTTCAGAGCGGAGCCTGGGGACTGGTTTCCATTCTCACTTTCCTTGGCTGGCTTGCTGTGTATATTATGGCCAGTTGCTTGGCGTCTCTGAACCTCGGGTTCTGACCCTGCCACAGCCAGGTTTGATGATGCCCTGTTACCAAGAAGAAGACAGAAACGGGTTGTGTGATTGCGAGGTCCTGGTAGGAGGTCAGCCTCTAGTCTCCACGTTGGCCAGAGCTTGGGGCTGGGGTGCCAGCCTTGGACCCTTGTTAGGATGTAACAGGAATCAGAGAAATATTGTTTGCTTTTTCACTTTGGGCCTTCATCTTTATCTCCTCCTCTCATATCTACTCACCTGCAGCACAGGCTAAAAGATGAAAGACTCAGGATGGTTCTGAATTTCCCCTTTGGCTCTTTACTGCCTTGACTCTGAGAAGGTAATTGTGTCTTATCTGCAAAAACAGGAGGTTGATTGCAATGATATCTGATTCTGTCAGATTCTGAAAATATATGTTTTTTCCTCCCTTCCTCTTTCTCCCACCCTCTGTCTTATCACCCACACACACACACTCCCCAGTGTCAGCACAGACCAGCAGGGGCTAAGAATGATCCAGAGAAACAGTAAAACTAGAAAGCAAGAAAAGTAGAGAGAAGGATGGAAGAAGATAGAGATGCCCCAGAAGGAAGAGAGAGGCACAAACTCAAGCGACAAGGAGGCAGAGAGGGGCACAGAGAAGAAGAATCTGGGGACACAGACAAGAAGAGAGAAGAACAGATGCTGGGAGCACAATTGACGTCAACAGGAGGAAGAGGATTGGGGCTCAGGAGGAAGAATATTTATTCTTCTTTTTGTGTAAGGAGAGGAAAAAAGATGAAAGGAAAGTGGCATAGAGACGTGGAGACCCAATGGCAGAGAGTCAGCGGGATGGAGAAGGTGAAGGCACAAAAGGAGACTGAGGGAGACAAAGGAGACAGGAAAGAATGCCTGAGATGCTGAGAAGGTGGGGTGTGAGCCAGGGCTGTGAGAAAGGGACACAGGAGAGCTAAGAAGGGGCAACGGGTCCCACGAAGAGCTGAAGAGACCAGACAGAGAGAGACAGAGGCAATCAGGGGAGGTGCAGTGAGGCAGGGCAAATCCGGTCTCCTGGAGCTAGAGAAGAGATGGAAGAAAGTCCAAGATCAAGAAAATAGGGTGACTGTAGACAAGGTAGAGCAGGACGGAGCAGTGGAGTCTGAGGGAGTGGGAGGGGAAAGGGGATTGGCAACAGTGGAGGAGGGATGGGCAGGGAACCAGGTTCAAGGCGGAGACCCAGAGAAATGCTGCAAGGCAGAAATCCTTGCGAATCCAAGGGACAGCAACAGGCTGAGGAGAAGAGGGGAAAATCAGGGATGGAAGAGAGGGACCACGCTGCAGGCAAATCCAGGAGCAGAGCGAAGTCAAGTCTTGACTCAGAGAAGTCAAAAGGGAAAGAAAGGAAAGAGTGGGATGAAGACCCGGTCAGAGAACCTCAGAGCCAGAGACACAGAAAGAGGAGGGAGAGATGTGACACAAACTTTGGAGGCAGAACACAGAGCAGAAAACAGAAACAGAGGCAGAAAGAGGCAGATGGAGAAGGATGGAAAGCAAGAAAGAGAAAGGGAGATAATAACAGACCAGAGGAAGAAAAGGAGCGGATGGACACAGAAAGAGAGAGAGAGAGAGGCAGAGACAGGCAGCCATGAGCACCCTCACACAGACATGGGGAAAGGGACAGAGCAGAGACAGACAGGCAGCCAGTGAGTGGGAAGTGTGGACCCAGCTGGGCTCCTACCCAGAGCTCCCTGTGAGGCTGGGCCTGGGGGAGCCATGAGCCTCGCTTG